AAACCCTACATGAGATCAGCAGTCTGCTCTGTTCCCGGAGACCATGCCTGACAAGCACAGTTCTCCCTTACTAGAGCCACCAATAAATTCAGTTTTGTTCTTTTTATCCAGATATTGGGAAACAGTCTCATCATCTTTTCCCAATTCTGATATAGACAATTTTTAAATTTAGTAAATTTCATATAACATAATTCACAATCTTAAACATTTTAGAGTGTATAATTCAGTGATTTTTAGTATAGTCACACTACTATGCAACCATCATCCCTGTTCAATTCCAGAATATTTCCTTTATCCTAAAAGGAAACTCTGTACTTCCCAACTGCCCTTTTCTTCACCACCTGCCAACCACTAGTCTACTTTCTGTCTCTGTACGCTTGCCTATTCTTGACACATCAGATGAGTGGAATCATACAGCATATGGCCTTTTGGGTCTGGCTTCCTTCACTTCAGCATGTTTCAATATTCATCCATATTGGAGGATGTATCCATACTTCTTTCCTTTTCATGGCCAAATAATATTCCACCGCATGGACATAATACATAGTTTTTAATCCATTCTTCTGTAAATGGATACTTGGTTTGTTTTTACCTTTTGGCTATTGTGAATAATGCTGCTGTGAACAACCGGTGTACAAATATCTGTTTGTGAGCACCTCTTTTCAACTGGTTGACAATTTTTTCTCAGGACTTTGACTATATCACTCTAGGGGTGCCTGGCTGGCTAGGTCAGAGGAACAGGCGACTCTTGATCTCGGGGTTGTGAGTTGGAGCCCCACACTGGGTGTGGAGATTACTTTAAAATAAAATCTGAAAAATAAATAAACAAACCACCCTACTGCCTTCTAGCCTCCATGATTTTTTTTATTTCTTTTATTACTCAAAAATAAAATAAAATAAAAGTTAAAAATAACTTCATTTTTTTATTTAGCTTTCTGACTCTGTGCTTGAGCCTTCCACATTTCCACAATGATTTTCTGCTCCTCGATAAGGAAAGCACGCTTGATCCTGTCATGAACAAACTTAGCACACATGGAACCATCACAGGCCCTGCTGACATGTGTTTTCGTTTTAGACAACTTCATAAGAACTGTAGGTCTCACAGCACGAACTCCTCCAATCGGCCTGGGCCCATACCACCTGCGGATTTTGGTGCTTTCCCAACCTTCCTGGTACAGAGTTAAATGATTCTACTCCCAGGGGTTCGGGACAGCCTAATTCTGCTAGAGGCTGTATCACAGGATAGCCTACGATCGTATGTCAAGTGCCGGACCGTTCTGAATGCCTGTGGATGCCATCCCCAGGAGAGGAAAAAGCTCCATGATTTATGATGAGAAATCAGCCAGTAAGTTGACTGAGGATCCATTTTCTGTAATGAGTTGCTTGTCCAGAACAGGCAAATCCAGACACTGAGAGGAGACTGGTGATTGCCAGGGTTAGGAGGAAGAAGGAATGGGAAATAACTGCTCATGGGCATGGGGTTTGCTTTTTGGAGTGATGAAAATATTAAAAAAGAAATTAGTAATCATGTTTGCATAGCTCTGTGAATGTATTAAAATCCCCCAAATTGTCCATTTTAAAAGGATAAATTATGTCCTGAGCTGCTGTAGAAAAATCTAAATCGGATGTCTCAAAGGCATCTCAAAATCAATGTGCCCCACATCCAAGTCTTGTTCTTTAATATCAAACCCTGCCTTCTTCCTGGGCTCTGGAGCTCAGGGAGTAGACCACCATCCATCTACTTACACAATAGAAACCCTGGGTCATGTTTGCCAGCTTGTTACTCCCTTCCCCCAATATTTAGTCCATCCCTGAATCCTATCACTTTTACCTCCTAAATGGCTCTTTTCCCATCTGTCCCTATCTTTAACGGTCCATCCCAAAGCCACCATCTCTCGTTAATGACCCCTCTCATCTGGCCTCCTCATGTATGCACTCTTGCCCCTCTTCAATTTGCCATCCCTGCTGCAGCTGGTGGCGCTGGATTGTTCAACAGATAGACCAGGCACGTACTAACTAACTACATCAGCAAAGCAGGCCACTTACAAATTGAGGTAAAATTTCTTGGAAAATGTTGGTATTTTGTATCAGTTAGGATACAACAATTCTGAAAGTAACAGAAAAACCAGCTCACGCTTGCTGAGATATTATCTCTTGAAGCACCTACATTTTTTCCCTATTGCCATCCTCTATTCACATCCAGTGATAGAAGGACAATCTCCCTCAAGGATAAGTTCTTCCCTTAGCTTGTATTAGGCAAATTTAAGGTATAGGCATACCTGTGGACCAGGGAAAGGCCAAACACTCATTGGCATGGACTGACTGAGGTCTACCTGTGGACTGCATGGACAGCTGAATAAAATTTGAGAATCTGCTAAGGAGGAGGAAGACGGGGATGGGCACTTACCCTTGATCCAATAATATGGCTCTTCTTTTAGGCAAGACTTGAAATATAGGGAAGGGGCCCTAATATATTGCAGAAAGAGGAAGCTAACTTTAGCAAAATATCATTTACAGCACGAGGTTTCCCTCTTCATATTTCAAAATTCAAAGGCATTTTCTGTCATCTGGCACAAACAAAATTTAACAATTTATCGTAATTCAGTAAAGAGCTTTCCGATTTTTCTTACTGCATTATGATAAAGTTAAAATGTAAAGATCATATGGGATCAAGTGTGGGTTATTCTTTTTCCAGTTATAAAATATATTGAGCACTACGGCAGAGGTTCACTAACCACAGGGGTAAATACAAGTCAAACACTTCTCTTTTGGGCTCTACACATTTAAGCAATATATACCACACATCTACAATTGTGCCAGTCAGCCTTAAGTAAAAAGAAAACATATTTTAGGCACAGTTATGGGATAAGCTGAAAGACCTAAAACCATTCTTTCAGCTAATAGACCTAGATATATTATAGGTAATTGAACTCTAAAAATCTGCTCTATTAAAAATCAAGTGCATTTAACCCAGAGATAAGGGGTTCTATGTGTCATCTTTATAAAAATGAAATTTTATTCACCTGACAGTATATATAAGTCACCAGCAAGCATTGCGGTGCGTTATTCCCCTACCTTTGTGTGGTTGGCAGCTCGTGGAAGTCTGTGGTAGAAGCTCTCTTCCCTAGGTAGCCAGGATCCATAGCTGGTCAGTTAAAGAGAAAAGTCAGTTAAAGTGGGGAATCACAAACTTATAATAAGTAGCCTTAAAATGTTATTTTTTTTTTAAGATTTTATTTATTTATTTGAAGAGAGAAACACAGTGAGAGAGGGAACACAAGCAGGGGGAGTGGCAGAGGGAGAAGCAGGCTTCCCGCGGAGCAGGGAGCCCGATGCGGGGCTCGATCCCAGGATCCTGGGATCACGACCTGAGCCGAAGGCAGATGCTTAACGACTGAGCCACCCAGGCGCCCCTAAAATGTTATTTTTAATTAAAAACATACAAGTCCTTTCATCCATCATTCCTTTGATATCGGGCTAAAAGGCCTTTTCTTGGAGTGGAGTCTACAGATGGGGGCGGTACATAAGACATGCATTAACACCAGCAAGTAGTGCTGTCAATTTTAGTTTCAGTGGAGTGAGGACTCAAGACACCTGTGGAGAAAACTGAGGGCAGAATTCTGATGGATTCCTCTGCCTAAACTTACACATTTGTTTCGCCCACACCTAATTCCACAACAGATTTTCTTAAGGCGTGATAAAGACCTATCTTTAGAGAGAGGCCCTGATATCAGATAGGTCTTTATCAGGTCTTCCCAAGCATTCAACTTATTTTCATAGAGATCACAACTCTCTTCATGCTCCTCTTTGTCTGCTTTGGGTAATATTGAATTAAATTATGTAATTACTAAGCAAAACTTGCATAAACAAGTTTGGGAACAAACGACTGACTTTTGGAAAGCATACAACTCAGGAAGAAGTGATTAGCCCATCAGGGACTAGCCTACTTACTGGTTGTAAAAATTGCATGGGCCTTCAGCATTAGGAATGTTTTTCACACAGAACAGGGACTGGTTCAAAGGTCTGAGCCAGAGGAAGGCAGAGTTGGTTCTAGAAACAGAAAATCTAAATTCAGAAACAGCATTTACATTTATATGAAGTTATGAAACTCCTTTGAGAGGAATGCTAATGAATAGGATTTGAGCAAATTTTTTTTTTTTAAGATTTTTTAAAATTTATTTGACAGAGACACAGCGAGAGGGGGAACACAAGCAGGGGGAGTGGGAGAGGGAGAAGCAGGCTCCCCGCAGAGCGGGGAGCCAGATGCGGGGCTCAATCCCAGGACCTTGGGACCATGACCCGAGCCAAAGGCAGACGCCTAACGACTGAGCCACCCAGGCGCCCCTGAGCAAACCTTTCTTTACGGAGTTTGCAGTAGGGCCAGCCATGCTTCTCTGGGGGAGGGCATAATGCCTGAGCCTCCTGTTGGATGTGGTTAGGGTCACTGGGTCTACTCTTGGTGAATGCTCTAAAATATTAAAATCTCTCTCTCTTTGAAGAAAGCAGGAAAGGAACTGTTCCTAGTTTATGTTTAAGAAAATACTGAAATCTAGCTTTTGGCTTTCAGCTCGAAGGAGGCCAAGGTGCAGCTGTCTTCGGTTGTCCCCAATCCAGGTTCACCCAACCTCAGCTGCCTCCATCATGCCGCCTAAGTTCGACCCCAACGAGATCGAAGTTGCATGGGTGAGGCGCACCGGTGGGGAAGTTGAGGCCACGTCTGCCCTGGCACGATCGGCAACCCCTGGGTCTTTCTCCAAAAAACGTTGGTGATGACATCACCAAGGCAACAGGTGATTGGAAGGGTCTGAGGATTACAGCGAAACAGACATTCAGAACAGACAGGCCCGGATTGAAGTGGTACCTTTGGCCTCTGCCCTGATTATCAAAGCCCTCAAGGGGCCACCAAGAGACAGAAAGGTGTTCGCAGCCGCCGTCGCTCGCCAGCGCCAGCGCTGCCTCCAGCTCGCCGAGCTCCAGCCGAAGGAGAAGGGGGTTAAGCCATGGCTCGTACAAAGCAGACTGCCTGCAAATCGACAGGTGGTAAAGCACCAAGGAAGCAGCTGGCTGCAAAAGCCGCTCGCAAGAGTGCGCCCTCTACTGGAAGGGTGAAGAAACCGCATCGTTACAGGCCTGCGACCGTGGCACCCCGTGCAATCAGACGTTATCAGAAGTCCAGTGAACTTCTGATCCGCAAACTTCCTTTCCAGCGTCTGGTGCGAGAAATCGCTCAGGACTTCAAAACAGATCTGCGCTTCCAGAGCGCAGCTATTGGTGCTTTGCAGGAGGCAAGCGAGGCCTATCTGGTGGGCCTCTTTGAAGCCATCAACCTGTGTGCTATCCGTGCCAAACGTGTCACAATTATGCCAAAAGACATCCAGCTAGCGCGCCGCATACGTGGGGAACGTGCTTAAGAATCCACTATGATGGAAAACATTTCATTCTTAAGAAAAAAATTTTTTTTTTCTCTTCTTCCTATTATTGGTAGTTCTGAACGTTAGATATTTTTTTCCATGGGGTCAAAAGGTACCTGAGTATATGATTGCAAGTGGAAAAATAGGGGACAGAAATCAGGTATTGGCAGGTTTTCCATTGTCATTTGTGTGTGAATTTTTAATATAAATGCAGGGACATAAAGCATTAATGCAAGTCAAAATGTTTCAGTGAACACGTTTCAGCCGTTCAACTGTATAACAATTATAAATAAACCTGTTAAATTTTTCTGGACAATGCCAGCATTTGGATTTTTTTTTTTTAAAAATTTATTTATTTATTTGACAGAGAGAGACATAGCGAGAGCAGGAACACAAGCAGGGGGAGTGGGAGAGGGAGAAGCAGGCTTCCCGCGGAGCAGGGAGCCTGATGTGGGACTCGATCCCAGGACCCTGGGGTCATGACCTGAGCCGAAGGCAGTCGCTTAACCGACTGAGCCACCCAGGCGCCTGCATTTGGATTTTTTTTAAAACAAGTAAATTTCTTATTGAAGGCAACAACAACACCAACAAAAGACAGAAAGAAGCAGAAAAAACATTAAGCACAGTGGAAATAGCACTTTGGATGTGACTGTCAACGCTGCCCGACAGATGTGGCAGAAATCTCTGGAAACGCCCAGTCTGTGGGCTGCAATGTTGTTGGCCGCCACCCTTGTGATATCACAGATGATATATCAACAGTGGTGCAGTGGAATGCCCAGCTCGTCAAAAACTAGAAAGGAAAATATTTCAATAAAGAATGATTTGACAGCCGAAAAAGAAAAAAAATTATTGAAGTCTCAAGTAGCCTTAATGTGGGTCAGATTACTAAGGATAATAAAATTCTCCAAGAGAACCAATTTGCTAATCAAGAGGGGGAAAACGATCCTGTTTCCTGGTGCCCTCTTGTGATGAAACAGCAGGTCGACAGTGGGGATTATAAAGCTTTAAGATCCAAGTCTCTGAAAGAGATCATATCCCTTCATTAATGGTTGGACTGCACACTAAGAACCAGCCACCAAAATGATAAAAGCAGTGGTGCTTGAGGGAGGGCCATAGGATGAGAAGTACTTCCTCCCCATCTCCTAAATTATCTAAAATGAAATTATATTACTTTTGTAAGTAAAAACAACAAAAACACCACCACGATTTACCACAGTTAGTTAATAATAAGCAGAACCACTTTAAAGTTTTGGACAGAACGACCTATAGCCTTAACATGAGGACAGTCTTTTAGTAATTTTTTTTTTTAAAGATTTTATTTTTAAATAATCTCTACACCCATTGTGGGGCTGGAACTCACAACCCAGAGATCGAGAGTCACACACTCGGGGCGCCTGGGTGGCTCAGTCCGTTAAGCGGCTGCCTTCGGCTCAGGTCATGATCCTGGGGTCTTGGGATTGAGCCCCACATCCGGCTCCCTGCCCAGTGGAGAGCCTGTTTCTCCCTCTCCATCTGCCTGCCACTCTGCCTACTTGTGCTCTCTCTGTCAAATAAATAAATAAAATCTTTAAAAAAAAAAAAGTCACACACTCTACCAACTGAACCAGCCAGGCATCTCCCTCTTCTAGTAATTCTTATTGAATTCAGGGGGAAGACCAATAATGCTTTTTAAGTTTTCCTATTGTTTTGTCTCACGCTGTTTAAGAACTTTCAAAATAACAAAGACTGATATGCAAGGCAAATCCTCAGCTGTTTTCCTAACTAGCACTTAGGAAGCCCACTGTATTATGGAATCTCTAAAAGGCAGCGCTGAATGCGGTTAAGATCATGAACTCTGGAGCCAAATGCCATTTACTTGCCAGTGACCTTAGGACAGTTACTTAGCCTGTCTGTGCCTCAATTTCCACATCTGTAAAATAGTGATAATATTACTTATCTGACTGTTCAGAGAATTAAATGACTTCATGTGTAATCAACCAGTTATGTGTAAACCGCTTTTAACAGTGCCTGACATGTAGTAGGTTCTATACACATTTAATAAATAAATGCAAATTTTAAAAAAATGTCGGTGAGTTTACTAAGTATATATTAAGAATAGTTTTTCTGGAGGCACCTGGCTGGCTCAGTTGGTTTAGTGTGTGACTCTTGATCTCTGGGTTGAGTTTGAGCCCCACGTTGGGTGCAGAGATAAATTAAAAAATGAAAGAAAGTTTTTGTATTATTTTCAACACTCTCCTATTCAACATTCTTACCCTTCAGGGTTTTTATTAATAATAATTTCTACTTAGCCTAGAGAAGTTAAACTTATGCTTAACGAGATATTTATTTAGGGACAAGTAATCTAAATTTCTAAGACGATGGTGTTTAGGGAAGGTTATGACGAAGACCTCTAATAATGTCATATGCCATGTCCATTAATAGAGTTCTTCTTGAACCCGTTTTCCCAATGTGGAGACCCTTGAGAGATACTGACCGTGTACCAGCAAGGAACCCAGGCATAACCCAGGATGTGTGTGTGTGTGGTTTTTAGAATATGAACCTGAATTCTTGGATGCTCCTCCCTATAAAAGGTGGAGCATAATCTCCTCCCGCCTTGAGTGTGAGATAGACTTAGTGACTTGCTTCTAAGAAATTAAATGAAGGGGCAGCCTGGGTGGCTCAGTCGGTTAAGCGTCTGCCTTCGGCTCAGGTCATAATCTCGGGGCCCTGAGATCGAGCCCCGCGTTGGGCTCCCTGCTCAGCGGGGAGTCTGCTTGTCCCTCTCCCTCTGCCCCTCCCTCACGCTTGTGTGTGCTCTCTCTCTAATAAATAAAATCTTTAAAAACTAATAAAATAAAATGAAGTGGAAGTGATGGTGACAACTTCAGAGACAAGGTCCTTCCTTGTTTGGATCTGAGGGAAGCTGAGGGAAGGCAGCTGCCAGGTCATGAGGATACCCAACAGCCCAGTGGAGAGGCTCACAGAGTACGGAACGGAGGCCTCCTGCCAACAGCCCTGTGAGGCAGTCATCTTGTTAAGTGGACCAGCCAGCCCCAGTCTTCAGATGACTGCAGGTCTGACTGCTTGAGAGAAACATGAAGCACACTGAGCCAGAAGCCCCAGGTGAGCCACTCCTAGATTTGACCTGCAGAAACCATGTAAGATAATAAATGTTCACTGTATTAAGTTGCTACATTTTGGGGTAATTTTCTACACAGTACAGATAACTATTATAGCTTGTGTTCACGGGTGAATAAGAGAGCAGTGTGAAGTACCCTTTCTAGACCTGATCCTATCCAACTAGTGAAAATCTATCATTTGACCCAAGACCTATCGCCACGTTGCAGTTAGATGCTGTGATAAAATGGTTTCTTTCTTTTCCCTGCCCAGTTGCTACTTTTTATGTTCCAAACATGTCAGGGTTTATCCTACCCCTTAGCATAACTGCCCAGAATGTCTCTGAAGAAATTTGAGGGCAGTCTCCGCGAGATAGAGACTATTAGTAAGAGAAGGCAGGAGCCTGGCTATGGAGAAGCCCCAAAGAGTGAAGTTTGTGCAATACACTGTCTGGGCTTTGGTTCTTTGTCCTAAAGGGTCAGGAACTGTATTTTTCAGAATGTTCAGAACTCATAGACTAAATTGACAGACTTCGGGGCTGAACTCTACAAACTAAATTCACATGAGACTAATGTATAAATCAGAAAGCTTCTCTGATTTTGCTCTGTGTGGAATGGAATTCCGATGCTCTCATCCAGAGTTCCTCCTTTTCCTGAATGATAGCTTGGAGGTCATATTAGCAAATCAGAAGGTGGTTCAGTTAAGCTTGCAATTAGAGCCCAAAGTGGTGAGTCTCAAGTATGTTCTTCCCAAACCGCAGCAAGGCTTGATAAACTGATACTACCTGAAGAAAAGAACACTTTAGGCCATTAAACTGCTCACATGTCTTGGATTCAGTACCTCCCTTCCATGGATAACACTGTATGTACTGTCATATTTTGTTTCTCCAAACTCTTGGCAAATTGACTATTTCTGTTCACGTTTTCTTTCTCAAATGAGTTAGTATCACTTCTAGGAAACAATGGGGCTTCTCACCACATGCTGACTTAGTTAGTTTAAATCTCTGGGGCTATCTTACTACCATGTCCTTGGAGTGTCTCCCTGTTGTCTTCACACATTACCTGTACCGTTTGGATCAGAGGACATTTATTAGCATACCAGAGCTTGTCCAGAGATAGTATTTTGGAACTGGCATAGCCTCTGAAAGGCAGTTTTGTAATTTCTGATCTTTTCTCTAGACAATTTCCATGATCAACAAAATCTGAAGTTAAGATCACCAGGGACGGAAAAATGAATAAACAGCAGTTATCAAAAATAGGGCATTTATGTGATGTTATCCTCTTTACAACCCACTGTATGTGGTAGTACCTGAGTCATGAGTGTTCTCACCAAAACTGAATCATTCAAATTTAGAACAAAGGCTAATTTGTAGGTGTCAGTTTCAGAACTTCAAAAACTGTTTTTACTATGTAAGTATTTAATTTTAAGAAAAAATATCTTAGTATTTAATGTCTTAGTATGAATCAACAGCTATTGATTCAAAATTTGAAGTCTGTTCCATCAAATGTATGCACTTGAATTATTAAAACTTAGACGACAACAAAATCCTTAATGTTGCCATTATGTAATTAGATAAATTATAACAACATCAACAGTCATGTTGATATATGATGTAGTATGCCAAATCATTTCAAACATTTATAAATATATCAAAATCTCTTTTAGTTTTATTGCCTTCAGAAACCCAGGACCATTCAATGGTCATTTACTTGTCACTTTCATCAGAGATCATTCTTACTGATTTCGTATGCTACTGAATACATTTTTCCCTAATTATTTGTTTTACTAAAATGAAAATACAATTTTTTTCTTGGAAACAAAATTAAGTCAAATTAATTCAACAGCTGCTGAAATTTCACCTGAAATTTTAAACAGCTCCAAAGCCACAAAAGGAGAAGATAAACACATTAGCTTTAATATAGCTAGTATGCAATAAAAATGAAAAGATCTATTTTGGGAAAGTTAACACAAGTAGAAAAATCGACTAACGTATGTTCACTGAAGTCCTGTCATTAGCATTTTTATTTAGTACAATATATGCTAGAATATAAATACATAACAATATGTCCTTTCTTATCATGGGGAATCTTTTATACAACCAAATTCCATGGCCAACATTTTATATGACAAAAGAAAAATAAACCAACATGTAAATTCTCAGAAAAGGAGCAAGGATATAGGAAAATAATGCATTTTATATAAATTATAGAGGACAGTTACAGTGAAAATCCATTACCTTCCTCTCTGACTCAATTTTACAAAATAAAGTCAGCATGTATTATTCTGGGAACTGCTAAGACTGCAGGAACACTGTGGCCCTTTCAAAAGACAGTGGTCAAAGACAAACTATTATCTTGATGTCATACATTGTTCTTAGTTCTTAACTGGAGTTGAGCTTCCTTTCATAGTCTTCTTTAGGTGGTGGTAGTTTGGCAAGATTTTCATCAGGAAATCCAGCTGTAGCGTCTGGGGCTAAAAAGATAAGATAATTAAGGACTGACAAGCAGAAGGCAAAGTTAAGAGTAGCAGGCAGAAATAATTACCACCAGGCCAGGGAAATATAGGTGATTTTCACTGGCTTATTTTTGCTTACCTGTTTGTTTGTTTGTTTAATTTACAATGAATGTATGTTAAGTATGGTAATAAGAAAAGCCAAAAGATTTTACATAGACAAAATATACACGACTCAGTTTTCAACCCTGCTTTTGTAGACCTTACCCTGGCCTCCAAAAAATTAAACAGTTCTAATCACAGACAACAACGTTAAGTAGAAACCTGGAGCACGCGGATTCCCACAGGACCTACACAGCACGCAGCTGCAGTCCTCATCGGCTCTTCACTCTTCCCGCATCAGCTTTGCCCAGACTTCCCTCACTGTGAAACTCACAAGGGGCATTCATGACAAACACGGAGTTTTAGGCCCTTGCCCTAGACACTGTGATTCAATAAGTCTGGGGAATCCTTCTTTTAATAAGGACCTCTACGTGATCACTGTGATCACTGAAATGTGGAAAACAGTAGGTGTTAAACTTCAGATATTCTTACTTACTTAATTCTAATCTCCCTCAACCCAATTCGTTTCTCCCTCTTCAATCAGTTTTGCTGTTATGCAGAATGACAGTGAAAAGAAAAACTGATTTGTTCTTATTGCCTTTTTAGTCTATGGAAGTCATACTTGCTTATAACAGTAGTAAAAGCCAAATGTTAGAGAAACAGAATACCCCAAAGAGAACTGGAGTTTTAATTTCTGATAAAGTATGGCTAAGAATCAGATGCAAAGTGATAAATGTCTTGACAAATATTTTCTTCTGGGGGAGGGGAAAGAGGCTGGGTAACCAAAGCACTATATTGTGGGCCAAGCAATGAGGCTCAAAACCTCAATCAGAATGTCTTCTGTCCAAAGAAAGCCCCAAATGCCCTATTTATCTCCTAAATGAAAGTCTAAATACATGTTCTTCATTATTCTTGGTTCTTAGGAGGAAGAAAAGATAATTTCTCATAAGCCAGGAAAATATCCAAACACATTTGCATATTCACAAAACTGTGTTTACTTTCAAGTCGTCTATGTTGGCAAACTAATAGATGGATCCAAGTTGGCTGTCCAATATAAATTTGGTAGGGTCATTCCTTACCCTGGAGGATTTTAAGAGTGAATCAACAGTTTATAAAGTTTGGTGATGCATCTTCAGTGAAAACACTTAAGACCAGGAATAACATCTCTGGATTTTCTTTTTTCTCACTATCAATTTGTCATTGTCATCTTTGTATTTTTGATAATAACTTAAAAGACTGAATAATTTGGGGCGCCTGGGTGGCTCAGTTGGTTAAGCTTCTGCCTTCGGCTCAGGTCATGGTTCCAGGGTCCTGGGATCAAGCCCCGCATCGGGCTCCCTGCTTGGCGGGAAGCCTGCTTCTCCTTCTCCCACTCCCCCTGTTTGTGTTCCCTCTCTCACTGCCTCTCTCTCGCTCTGTTAAATAAATAAATAAAATCTTTAAAAAAAAAAAAGACTGAATGATTTCATTGCAAATAAATTCTAGCTTTAGGAATGTTTCTTTGATGTTTTATTTTAATCATTTGCTTTTTAAATAGCAGACTGCTGCCCCATTAAAACAATTATGCGGTATTTTGGGGAAAATCAGCAGCCCTAGAAAGAACTTTTTTTTTTGGAAATATAATTAACATACAGTGTTATATTAGTTTCAAGTGTACATCATAGTGACTCAACAATTCTAAACATTACTCCCCGTGCTCACCAGGATAAATGTAGTCACCATCAGCAACCATGCAACATTATTATTACAATATTACTGACTACATTCCCTGCGCTGTACTTTTCATCTCTGTGACTTATTTATTTTATAATAACTGGAAGTTTGTAGCTCTTAATCCTCTTTATCTATTTCATACATCCCCTCCACCCACCTTCCCTGTGGCAACCACCAGTTTGTTCTCTGTATTTAAGTCTTTGTTTCTTTTAGAAAGAACTCTTTTTAAAGACAGGGTCTAGTACCTGTGGTCGCTCAGTCTGCACCCGACGAAGGCAATCTGCACCATAGATCACTGTATTCTCAGGGATGACTTCAAACGTATTCAGGTTGCAGCAAGCCCCAATGATGCAACCACTTGTCAATATTACATTTCTGCCCACATATGCTGCAGTAAAAACACAGAAAGAACTGCAATTTAAGACAAATGAGTAGAACATTAATATTTTTCTAAAATGACTGAAGTATTAAATTGCAAACTAGCCTTAAGAAAATTAAGGAAATATTTCAGTTCAGAGTTTGTAAAGCAGGCAGGCGCCTGGCTAGTACTAAATGGATTAAAACAGAGCTTTGCTCACTAGTTGTGTGACCTTGGGCAAGTCACTGTAAATTCTTTGAGCAAGTTTATCTATAAGATGGAAAGACTGACCTACTTACAGTTTGTTGTAAGGAATAAGTGAGATATTAAATGTAAAGTGCTGAGCAAAGGTTTGACACATAGTAAGTATATAATAAATAGAAAATAACAATGATAATAATTGGTAATCCAAATTAAAATAAAAACCATTAAGTAGATTAACAAAAAGTCTACTTTTATTAATTAAAAAAAAAAGAAACATTTTCTTTCACACCAGTCAGGACCATCAAAGATAAATCATTATTCTAAAGATGTCTCATTGTTCAGGTTCTTTCTGGACTGTAGTGGGACAAGCTCTTGGAGCTGCTTTCCAATAGCGGTGGTGACTTTACAAGACCTCCTGCCTACCTCCATTTATAAGTAGCTTCCATTTGTTCCTGACTGGCTAGGGTAAAGGAGTCCTGCAATTAAAGCAAACTGCTACAGAAAATTATTTTTTTCCTTTAATTCTGCAATTATATTAATCAACTAAATTATCATTGACATTAGTATTTAGCAGAAATCTTTTTCAAATCTTTCATCTGAACATTATGGTTTAATTCAATCCTGATTTAAATGTACACAGCTGAATTTTTTTTTTTTTTAAGAGAGGGAGGGAGGGGCAGAGGGAGAAAGAGAAAGAGAATCTTAAGCAGGCTCCACGCCCAGCCTGGAGCCTGACATGAGGCTCAATTTCACAACCCTGAGATCAAAATCAAGAGTTGGATGCTTAACCAACTGAGCTACCCAGGCAGACCAACGGCTGAATTTTTAATTCAATGTATTAAACATAGGCAAAGAGTTAGTCTCATAACTATTTTAGTCCACTTTCAAGCATACCTTCCTTCCACTTTGCCATAGTTTCTACTTAGGTTGTTCTCTAGGACACAATAAAGAGAAAGGAGGTAAAGGAGGTAATCACTTTTCACAATAAAATTTCCAAACATAGCTTACCTTTTGATTCAATAACATTATTATCTCCCATTTTCATGGCTTGGGAATCTGTAAGCCAGAGTTAAGTAAATATTGTAAATGTGTTCATCTTTTTTTCCCTCCACTAATTCACTATATCCTTTTTTTTTAAAAAGAGTTTATTTATTTGTCAGAGAGAGAAAATGAGCACAAGCAGGGGGAGCGGCAGGCAGGGGGAGAGGCAAGCCCCCGCTGGGCAAGGACTGATGCAGGACTCAATCCCAGGACCCTGGGATCATGACCTGAGCTGAAGGCAGATGCTTAACCCACTGAGCCACCCAGGTGTCCCTAATTCACTATATCCTTATCCTGCCTGGGGCAGAGGACAAAGGCATGGGAAGGGCCACGCAGCCCCAGTCTGGCCAGAACGGCTTGCTCAGGGCAGCCTGAAAGTAAAGTTTTCATCTTTAAATACAAGTATCTGTAAGCAGACATAAATGCCTTCTATAGTTTTTAAAGAAATGAGCATCTTTTACCCCAATTCTATGAGTAACATATTTTCATGATTGTCTTAAGAAAATTAAAGTTACTTATCACCAAATCACTTAAAGCTAACACTGTTAACAGTCTGATATATCTTTATATAAATACATATAATTCCTTTTATATAACTGGGAATCAAACTGTATAAAATCAAACTGTATAAACTTTCACAGCTCACTTTATTTGGTTCAATTAACTTTGCAAGCAAGCATTATTCCATAACATTAAAATCTTTAAAAACATAGTTTAAAATGACTGCTTAATGGCCTTAATAGTCCATTTTGTGCATATAGCTTAATTTATTTAAATACTTTGCTATTGTTAAACATTTAGATTTTTTTCGTCCAAGTTTTCCTATCAAAAAATAATGTTTTGCTGACACCATGAAAGCATTTTACTATCTTTTTAGAGTACAAAAATCAAGCACAAGAAATGGTAGCACTCCGGGGGAAAAAATACAAAGAATGAAGTATTTCCATCCCTATCCACCATTTCTTTGCAACAGACAACATTCTGTTAACCTAAACTATACAGGAACCAAATGGACAGAGCTGTGGTTCCTAAATCAGGATGGAAGCCAGGATTCCTGTTTCTATGTCTACTGCCACTCAGTCATTGCTACCTGTCAACAAGTTATGCAACAGGAGCAAGATGGTACCTAAAGATATGTATGTGTGTGCGTGAACGCATGCTTATAATATATTTGATATATTTGATAGCTAAAACATGACCATTTCTATGGAATAGATTTGAATACTAAAGACAGCTGGGAAGAAGAGTTTACTTAAATTATTGTAAAGGATACAACAGCCAACTTCAAACACATTATTGGTGCCAATGATCATAGGTTTCGGTTCTGGATCTTCAGCATCAGGGGTGATATTATCAGGGTGACTATAAAAAGAAGAGACAAATTATCCAAGTCAATAATGCAATAAGCAATTCTCTTGTTTTAGAATTCGGGTTCATTCTTTCAATTTTACTTTCATCAAGCTTAAAATATGTAACTACAAAAGTACTTTTTTTTTTTTTTAAAGATATTATTTATTTATTTGACAGAGAGAGACACAGC